TGGGCTAACAGTGGGCTTCGTTCTATTTCTAGCGTAGCATGAAAAGGAAATTGAAGAAGCCCATTTAGTATCCTATGTCCTCAAAATATGCCATTGCATCTAAGTGGAATCACGCGCGAAAGGAGCAAAATGAAATTGAGTATATAATCTTTCATAAAAAAAAAAAATTGAGTATATAATAAAGGTTTCGTTTTTATCTGCAGTAAATCCAATACAACGTCGTTTTGGGGCAGAAATTATGGTATTTTTGTAATTTTAATTTATTTCAAAGTTATAATAGTCTTTATATTTGTAATTTTTTAAGATTTCAATACCAAAACGACGTCGTTTTGAGAATAAATGCAGATAACTTATCTGCATTAACTGCAGAAATATTTTTCCCTATAATAAAATGAACTTTGAGAATCAAAATGAACATAATGTATGTGAAAGGTGTACTTTGAGTCAAAATTAATTTTTTCATTTTCAGGACTAAAACACTAAATTATTAATTAAGGGACACAAGTTTCTTATCAATTGTGTCAATGGTGTTTGATGTGAAAAGAGTACTTTAATCTTTTATTATTTGATCATGAGGAACTCTAGACATCAAAATAATCTAAACTCATTAAAGTTATCTAATCTCAAACTTGATTTACTTTATTAAAATTAAACAAAAAAAAGTGAGAAAATAATATGTGCATAGACTTTTATTCCTCACAAACACTCGTAAAATTCTATGTAGATGATTAATAACACTTTCATCTGTAACTGTTTTAATGATTTAGATAAATTTACATTGGGGTTTGTGAGAATTTATAAGGATCATTTTTGTTAAGTACTCTTGTTAAAAAAACTACAAATAAAAAACAAAAAAAAAGTTAAGAAAAAAATATTTCTCATGCAATAGGAAATAAAGTTATTTCTAACAACATCAAGGTTTAGAAAAAAAAGTAGGGTATCTTACATTTTTTTTTATATATCATAAATTTTACTAAAATACCTTTTTTTCTCAAATCTTAAAATAATGTCATTTTGAAACTATAAGTTCTCCCTAAAATTAAAGCATTTTAGACACAGTATGAGCCAACAAAATCAGATATTGAAACACCCCTAAAAAAAAAGAAAGATATATGTCTAAGGAACAATCTCTCTTAATAATATGAATGAAATAGTAGTACCAGTACATCTTTGTTGGCACTTGTAGCATTTCAAGTTAGTTAAAATCGACTTTTTATCCAAAAACAGAAGGGGATAAAAATTCGTAAAATGTAAAACTATGATAAAAAAAGTCGTAAAAAAATAAAATCACTTGAGATATTAAAACATTTTGATAAACCCCTCCCCCCCTTCCCCAAAAAAAAAACATAAAAATACAGTTTTAAATCGAATTTTTAACTACCGTACAGTAGCATACATCAATCTTTAGAATAAAGTAACTTTTCCCCTCTAATCTTTTTAAGGGGCGTTTGGTATAAAGATTTTGGCCGGATTCTCGGAAAACTGAATTTTTTTAAATTTTAAATTTTTGGATATTGTCGTAAACTGAATATAAAAATCATATTTTTGAAAATCGAGATCCCCAGACAAAAAAAAATTTCTCCTTTACCATAACACAATTTCACTTTTCTATACACACATTAAAGAGGTGGGGTTCACATATTTTTCTTTCTCTTTCATCATTACACTTTCTCTCTTTCTTTTATTATGTGTGTTGAAAACAAAACTTAAGTTATGTAACATAACATTGATAAAATTAATCTTTTAAATTACAATAAAAAGTCAACGTTTCAAGTAACAAAAAAACGTGACCATTGTGATAAAAATTCCTTATCTAGATGATGTGACTTAACAACTGGAGAGTTAGAGATTAAACAAATGAAGTATAAAGAAGGGTTTTATAATTCTTATGTTAAACGAGAGTTGAAATCTTATGTTGTAGAGATAAAAAGTATGTGAGATTCATGTGTTAGAAAAAATTATATGTAGAATCTATATCAGCGCGGAAATCGAAGAGTGTGTAGGAAAATTTAAATTCTCATGTTGAATGAGAATTATAAAACCCATAAACAAATACATGTTATTTGACTGCTTAAAAGACCTTTTAGTTGTTGGTTGAGCAATTGTAAGCAAAGTAGCGTGAGTAATCAAGGGGGCACCCATGTTGCTTGACACAAACATTTAAAAAAAATAAAATTTATGCGATGAAGCAGTACAGTTTGGCAAAGATGGGAAGACCACGTGATAATATTTGAATATTCCAAGTCAAATCTAGAACACTGTGAATACTACGAGGTCTGCTGTATGTATGGCAATTGGCAGCTTTTTTTGGTGTCTGTGTTTAGAGTAGTGGAAGAAAAATAGGATTGTATTTGTTACTAGTTCTAGACGGCTCTAGGCAATGTTTTCGGTACTAGTTCTAGAAGAATCTTCTAATAGTGTTCGTTGTTGTGGTATACTGGTATATGATGAATTGTCTTTCATCACTTCGTTCTCAATTGCAGAATTCTATCATGGATTTTAGATATTCATTACAAAATGATTAATAGATCAAAATTAAAATCATTTTACGTAGATGTAATTTGGACTAAATTTATGATGAATGTTTTTCGATTTCATTCCAATAGCTTTTAAAGTTGAAACCTTTCAAGATTAAGTTTTTATCAATATCAACCCGAAACCAATTTTACAATTGATAAGACAAGTATTGGCATGAATAAGCAATCTATTTATCCCATTCTCTTATTTTATTTTTTTTCAATTTTTAGCTATTAAACATTCAAAATAATTATAAGACTGTTGCAATCAAATCCTATTTTAAAATCTACCCATTTCTTCCATTTTCTTAAAATTTATCAACTTTTAATTATTGGTAAAAGTGTTTGTCGTTTTAAATGATACAACTTGTGTCATTTCACTCTCACAAAGAGATGAGACCCACACTTTTATATTTTTTTGTCCACTCTCTCCTCTTTTATCTATCTCTTTCTCTCACCTAAAATGACACAACTTTACATCCTTTAAAATGATACACACTTAACCCCCAAGGGTAGCTCAGTTGGCAGCTGAGCTCCCAAGGGATTGCTTGTTGCAGGGATCAAACCCTGCCTCAAGCAGTTTCTTGGAAAAACTTTGGAGGTATTCGGTCGGTCTTCAAGTGAGTGAGTGGCCTTCAGAAGACGAGAAGGTTTAGAATCCTATTGTTACAATACCTATTGTTGTTGGAATATCCGTTGCTTTCGTTACCGGTCTTCTTCTTTGGCTTGTGAATCCACCACGCGCGGGTTCAATCCCCGTCGTTCGCCCATCAATAAATGGACCATTTGTTACGGAGACACAAGACAAACCTAGAAAGCATTTTTTCTTCAAGTCATCTCGAGGCTTTCAAACGCATCCAGGATAAGCCAAAAAATCTTCGGTTGGGAGATTAGTCTCATCCTTTCTCCAGTTGCAAAGCTTAGTGCGCCCACCCTTACAATAAGGGGCTAGCTCAAACGAGTCGTACCCCGAGGGCATGGTGCCCGGAAAAAGTTGAATGAGAATACCTCCTGGCAATGTACCAAAAAAAAAATAAAAAAAAATGATACACACTTTTCCCTTAATTATTAAACCTTCAAAATTAAGACTTGCAATCAAACCGTATTCTAAAATTTACTAAGCACACATGAAACCTTAGAACACTTTAATGTTACGTATCAATAATTAATTATCTTTTTTTATGCAATATTAAATAAGTCTAACATAAACTGTTTTTTTTTTAACAATGTTATATCATTTTTACATCCTTTTGTTTTTATAAAATTTCGAGAGTTTTTTTTCTCGTGCTATAACATGAGTTGAAAGTCATATATTACTGAAAATCATGCCTTTTGTATTTAAGTCATGCATCTTACATTTGTACACAAAAAGTTTCGAGGGACTTTTTTTTTATTGTGCTATAACATGAGTTAAAAGTTATACATTATTGAAAATCATGCCTCTTGCATTTAAGTCATGCATCTTACATTTGTACATAATAAGTTTCGAGAAACTTTTTTTTCTCGTACTACAACATTATTGAAAATCACGCATCTTGCATTTAAGTCATGTATCTTACATTTGTACACAAAAAGTTAGAGAGACTTTTTCTTTCTGGTGCTATAACATGTGTTGAAAGTCATACATTACTGAAAATCACGCATCTTCCATTTAAATCATGCATCTTACATTTGTACATAAAAAATTTCAAGAGATTTTTTTTTCTCGTGCTATGACATGAGTTAAAAGTCATACATTATTGAAAATCATGCCTCTTGCATTTAAATCATGCATCTTATATTTGTACATAACAAGTTTTGAGACTTTTTTCTCGAACTATAACATGAGTTGAAAGTCATACATTATTGAAAATCACATCTCTTGCATTTAAGTCATGCATATTACATTTGTACACAAAAAGTTTCGAGAAACTATTTTTTTGCTAGTTTTAATAAATCTTAGGATAAATGGTATACAATTTTATAATCATTAATTTCATATGAATTATAGATAAAGTTTAAAAAAAATAAAATAAAGTGACAAGTTTTAGAGTTTTAATAAAGCTTATGCAATTTTATCATTATTAATCTAATATAAAATAGAGATTAAATTTGAGGAAAAATTGGAAGGTCAGCCAAAGGAGGCAACCCTCTTATGGATTCCACAAATTATGTATGCATATGTCTTGATAGTCATACAACACTCCCCAAACAGTAAGAATGGCAAGAGTTGCATACTCAGCCAAACTCCCCTTTTCAGTTTACTTCAATGATTTCTACTTTGTTTATAAGAATCACTTCCTATTCTTTGTGCTTTACTTTCTAGATGTGGAACATGGAAGACAAGCCTTGAGCAACTGAACATTTTGCTTTACTTTCAAAAGACTAACATTTTGCCTAATATAAAATTGCATTTACAAATTTAATTCATTTGCAATCATCAAGGTTGATTAATTTCAAATTTCAAAGTTATTTTATTTACAAAGACTATGATTCATATCCTAAATAACTATTTAAATCCATTTGAATTGACTTTATAATATGATACACCAAACACATATATAATAAGGAATGATGTAATTATAATCCATGTAATTAGTACTCAAACAGCCTACTTCAGACATTCTTAACATTTCTTTTTTGGTATATTTTCATTGTAACGTGTTATCGACCTTTCAAGAATTCATGTAGCACATAGCTTGAGCTTGAAGATAATAAGAATCCTTATATTTTTTGTTACTTCCAATGTGAACCCCATTGTGAATCCAATCCTCCCGACTTATCCATGCATCCCTACCTAAATCAAGCACTCCAAGTATCTGCAAAGACATATAAGCTATGTTAAGATAGCAAGAAATAAGGATGTAACAATCACCACCAAGTATATAATGAGTCAAGGTGTTTTAACCCAATAACCGAGATCATCTTTTGTACATCTATAGTAGGTACATCTGCCATTTAACAAGTGACACTTGATAAAAAAAATATTTTTCTCTCCTTTTCATACAAGCATGACACAATCATTCCTCATTTTTTATTGGATAGATGCATTGAGTGAATGGTACAGCAGTAGTACTATAAATATTTCCCCAATAATCACTATTGCAAAAATGATTTTTCTCAGGTTTAACAACAATATTAAAGGCCCACGTGCCACAATTTAAATTCAACCCAAATACTGAATCTGAAATTGCCCTTAAATATAATGATACCGTTCTTATATTGAAAAAAATAATGATAATATATATATATATATATATATATATATATATATATATATATTAATATATAAACTAGTGTTAGGCCATGTTTCATTCATTGTATCCATGCCCCTGCTTGATATAGTCAAGAACAAATGAATAAAGAAAGTAATCTCCTCCACCTATGAAATTGTTCAGCTTCACTAAACTCATCCTCATCGTCAGTTTCCCTCTCAACCCCTAAATTCATGAATTTTATGACTTTGAATGCTGAATTATTAACAAATCATTCTTTTCCAATAATTTAAGATGTCATATTTTCCGTCGAGTTCATGTCATAACATCTCCATATTAACATCTAAATAGTGATGAATATAAATTTCCCAATCAGAATTGAAAAATATAAAAAAGTGACAATTTATGAATAATCAGTAATACAATTTTTTTATAAATAGAACCATTTAACAACCAACAAGAAAAAATTCATTAAGAAGTGAAGCAAGATGGTCATAAGTGCTCAACATACCGCCCCGCCTTTCCATGACACAAATGTTGGATTTGTCCTTGATTGTAGAACCTAAAAGTCATGTTTGCAAGGATATCCCATAACAAAATCAGAGACAACATGCTATTACTTTTAGAGGAGGTTTAGAGTTTTTACTTTTAAATAAAGAAATACATGCAGAAAATATGTAAACATAAGGAGATCATCATAAGAAACTTGCAGTCTTGAACTTATAAATATGTACCTTCTAAATAACTTGGAGAAGCTAATCTCACAAAGAACTTAACAGATATCAAGTACAATACACATATCTATAACAATTGAATACATATTAATAGATAATGTTTTTAAAACCAGGGTTATTGAACTGGAGAAGGTATTGGTTAATAGTTTAATGGTCTAACAGGTTTTATATATATATATATATATATAGAGAGAGAGAGAGAGAGGGGGGGGGGGGGGGCAGGATCCTTTTACACCGGTGTAAGAATAATAAGTTTTACACTCAATTTTAGCCATTAATTTTTGTGCACCAGACGGTTATAATTTAGTGGGTTACACGCATTAATTAATTATTAATATCCAATAAATTACCATCGTCAGATATACGAAATCAACAACTAAGATTTGGTGTAAGTTTTATTATTCTTATACCAGTGTAAAAAGATTCTGCCATATATATATATATATATATATAATATTACTAATATTATAGAACATATCAAGCAACAAATTAGATCATATTATATGTCTTGTAAGATAAAGAACAATAATAAAAGACTAAATAATAATCATTCAGCAAATACAACATTAAGTAAAGCAAAGAAATAATAGTCATTACGTTATTTAGTGCTTCGAAGTCCTAGACAGAGATAGGATTATCTAAACATACAACATATATAAAATCTAAGAAGAGGCTATACTTACAAGTCCCACATAGGATAGTAAGTGGAACATCCAAGCCTACAACATACACAAAAGCAAAGAGAAGGGCAAGCCATTTCATGTCTTGCTTATACATGGGCCTCATTGCGCCTTTGTAGCTTGGTATTGGGCCTTCATTTAGCTCAAAAAATGTTTTTTGTTAAATCAGAAAAAAAAAGGGTTCAAATTGGTTCATCATTGAATTTATGGTTTTACGGTTGACCGGTCCAATCCCATTCTTTTTTCAATGTGTATAGATGATTTATCAATACATCATTATAACAATTATATGGTTTACCAAAGACCAGCAATGCCACAGAGCAAATTTTGCATAGATATATCATTTAAGTACAAATAATTAAAAAAAATGCCTATAACATAGATAATAGGATATGAAACTAACCTCCACAGTATCTATTGCTTCATTTGGAGGAATGGCATGTAAAACTCTGTGACATAAATGGATAGTGGGACTCATCCATCAGCTTAATGTCATGAAATAATTAAGAAAATCATTCATGACTCTAGGGTGTTGAAATTCAACATGAGAAATAGAACCATAATAATGTTAAACAGTATGAGATGAAAAATTCTAATATAATGGCCGCTGCTAATGCACAGTTCTCTAGGAAAAAAGGTAAGGAAAAATGGAATAATGTCAAACAAAATGAAGGAAAGATGAAATAGCTTAAGAAGCAGACAAATCTAAAATTAAAACTGCAAGTCAAAAAGAAACAAAAAAATTTACTTTGATGTTGAAGTCAAAACTTTAAGGTCATTAAATAAACTAAGATTGAATGTCACATTAACAAGGATTCAAGTTATTTCAGTTTTTTTTTCTTTTTCTTTTGGGTACAAAAAAGTTTCGGGGGAGGTTTTCCCATTCCAAGGTCAAGGCATGCCACGTGATATTACAGATGACCTACTAATGAAAGAGCACTAGTAAGAATTGAACCCAAGACCTTTTTATCAATGTTGTTCGACCCCATCAATTGAGCCATCCCTCATTGGCTAGTTTTTTTTTTTTTTTTTAATGAAACAATACATGAATTATCATTGTGAACATCAGGATGACAGCCATGACCTTGTTGTTAGGTAGGTAAATATGCTAAGGGGAATCAAAATTGAAACAAACCTTTCTTCTACTGCAGGAACTAAACCATTTGTCAAAGCCACCCCGCCAGCCTATTCCAGATAAATGCATCAATTCCTTCAGATCAACATGTAATATTAAGAATATAGATACACCGAGCTCAACATGTAAAACTCACCAATTGTATGCTACAAAATAATTTTCTCTGGATATCTATGCGGCCTGTGAATACGGCACCAAACATTTAAACAAGGCTTCAAGTTTACGCACATAAAATGGAGAAAATGATATAAACAAATTACCAGTAGAGAGAATGCAGTTGGTAATAGCCTCTGCAAGGCCGACTTTTTCTTCTTTTTTTGGCTTAGTTGAAAAAACTGGATAGGTTTCCCACATGGGTAATCCTCCATTGACATTGGGATAAAAATTATCCGACATGTCAGACCTTCGGGAAAATTCAATATGCCATGCATCTTCTAGCATGTCCTCATAGTCATGAAACCTAGCAAGGGAAACCATTAGAATTGTGTAAACAAAATTGTCCAGAAACATGCTCACAGCACAAAGAGAGAACTTCATTAATGCACTAACCAAGTTCGTGGTGGAGGAGGATACACATCAGGAACAAAAAGCATTGGATAGAACAACCCCATAGGAGGAACCTATGCAACAATAATCATCACTGTCCAAGCATAGCGTTGTCCAAAGGCAAATGCAAGGGCAAATGAAGAAAGATTTCAACAGAGAATACATACATTAAGAGCAGTAAGCCTTGTTCTGTGAGATCCAGCTGGCACTTTGTCCTCATAAGAATGAACAATTGCAACAGCATCAAGCTCACCCTCCTATAGAAAGGAAACTAGAGAATTCAAAAATGAATCCAAGTTTGGAAGCAAGTGAAAATCTAGAGCAGTTCTTCTCATACGTGATGTGATGCATTTTCAAAAGTACTCACTCTCACCTTGATTTCACAATATGTCTCTTTCAGTTGATTTAACATTAACAGATCTATAGGCTTTGTCAAAATATCTGTACGAATTTGAGGCCAAGTCTGGTGATGCCTTTGGGTCCAGAGAAGGCTCCTTGATATATCCTGAAAATATGAAATAAAATAAGGTTAATGACATAAAATACTACCACAAAACACAATTTGGAACACAAAAAATAAGGTTAGCTCAATAATTTCAAGAATTAAAATAAGAAAATCTTCACACAAAGAAATAGATAGAAAGTGGCAACATATTACATAATATAGAATCAAAACACAAGTTGGAGTAAAGTAAGTCAAAGTCAAGTAAGTGGTTCTTTGACATGGTATCTATCATGAACCAACTCACCCAAAAGTTTAAGCTGATAGGTGAAGATACATGAATAGTTTTATATTGTATCTCTAATATGCTCACTAACACAAGAGCCTTTTGTTGATGAGGTTAACATCCAGCCTTGACAAGGCCTGGTATGGCAGGGAGTCAAATCGAACCATGTGGCTTGAGCTAGTAAGGGTAAATAGAAAGAGTTGCATTCTGATTAATAGGCTAATAGCTATAGCTTGTAACCTAGTGGTAAGCATGCGATCCAACACCCTTTGGGTTTAAAATGTGGACGATGCATAGTCCCACTTATCCTGTTGAAATTCAACTTTTTATTAGAAGAATGAGATGGCAAGAATCGGATTGTAGACCATTTGGTCATAAAGAAACTGACATTGTGTCAGGAACCAACTCTCTTAAAAGTTTAAACTGTTAGATGAAGACACATAAATAGTTTTATACTACATCTCTAACAATATGAAAGATTTGTTGTCAACCAAAGTTCTTATACTTGTAAATCCTTCCAATTTCCCTAAATCCAATTGCTCGAATTTTTTCAATATTTACATCTTTTTGGACTCCTTTGGCTTGGTGAAGACTTTAGTTTGGACCATTGTATTTCCCAGAATTAATACAAATGATATATTGCAGAATAATAGGCCTCAGAAAGCTATTTCTTTACGTGTTATGTGTGGTGCTTATTCAGAACCGGTCATTATTCTACTGTTATTTCTATATGACATAAATGTTTGGTCTTTTTGGTGAATGTTGGGTGTGCCCTAGGTCCTTGGATCAACTTTTGGTGACTAAATGGCTTTGGTAGAAGTAAAGAGGCTAAATTTTTATGGCAATGTGCAATCTATGCTATTATTTGGCGCATTTAGTTGGAGCATAACACCCCTCTTTAATGAGGATTCTTTGGCTCAGTAGCTGATTTGGGATAAGATTAGGTGTTTGGCTTCTATTGCTATAAAGGACACAATCTCTTAAAGGGGATTCCCTTGACACATATGCTGAGGGATTGGGCAGCTTTGCTCCATCGAAATTTTCTTATTTTCTTTGTTGTTTGTGTTTTTCTTTTCTTAAGGAGAATCCCTCGTCCCCCAAATTCATTGTAGTTTTCTTCTCTTTGCTGTAATGAATTTATTCTTTTATAAAAAAAGGCTTTGGTTGCTGTTGTTGTATAACCGTCTCATTATATGAGTTATGTGTTTTCTGAGCTCGAAGACAAATTGTCATCTGATTCATCTCTTTTTGCACTTTGAAGTTGCTTGGCAGCTTCGAAATCAGCTCTTTAGCATTTTAGGGGAACAATATGTCTTTCCATATTCTTTGGAACAAAATTTGTCAATTCATTTCAAAAGTTTTGGTAATGGAGTGTAATTCTTTTAGCAGTAGTTTGCTTCCAGGAATTTTGTGTTTGTGGATGAAGCATGGGCCATGATTTTGAACCAGATATTTTCAATTTATATAAATATTTAACCAGAAACTTATCCCTTCTCATCTTTTGTGAGACAGTAGTTTCTTGGATTCCATGTGGGTATCAGCCCATGGTTTTTTTAGGGCTATTTATATTATGGACACCTAGAGGCTAGAGAGATTGGAGAGATCTTTTGAGATGATAGTTTTATTTCATTTATTTTTTTGTTTTTTAGGGCTATTTGTCCTCTTTCTTTATAAATAAAAAGAGACAACTTGAGTCAATGGACGTGACTGGAGAAGCAATGTTATGACGCATGTGTCTTGACGAAGACAACTATAGGGTTAATGTAAAGAATCAATTCAACCCAAAAGCTTAAGCTGGTGGATGAAGCTACATTAATGGTTTTTATATATCTCTAACACGCTCCCTCACACGAGATCTCCTTGGGCTTAAAGGGTGGACAATGCACAGGCTCACCTACCTGTGCTAAGAAATTCCACAAGAGAAAATGGAGGACGGTGAGGATCGAACCCATAACACTAAGACTCTGATACCATGTAAAGAACTAATTCAACTCAAAAGCTTAACATACACAATATCACTAAGTGGATTAGTTCTCCATTTTCCAACTAAATCAAACTTGTAAACACTGATAAAAAAATCATCAAAGTGCAGACACTTTTTTGTTTGGATAAGAGAAGAAACAGAGTGCAAGAATTTTTAATTCCCATGATATGTTATTATGCATCACGTTCTTGTGTCATAAATGCACCCATTCAAATATCTTCTAATAGGGGAATCAGATCAGACCCTCCAACTTCACTGCTTTATAGTTTATACATGTCACATAAGTGAAAAGAATATGAAAAAGTTGCTAAACTAATGCAAAGAAAAGCTTGGTCAGAAAAAAAAAACTTGAAAAAATGGAAGGAAAATATATTATTGAATTGTGTATTATAAATGCACAAGAGCTTTCTATTTAAAGAGACTAAATGACCTAATGGATTAAGCCCAAAGAAGATTCTCGAATGAAAAAATAAATAAATAACTAATTATAATTATTTACAACACTCCCCCTCAGCTGAAGAATACATATTTATCATTCTCAGCTTGCTAGTAAGCTCTTGAAACTTTTCTGCGGGAAGTCCCTTTGTCAAAATATCAGCTAAATGACGTCCAGAAGAATGTATGGAGTAATAATCAACCTGCTATCAAGCTTTTCTTTGATGAAATGGCGGTCCACCTCAATATGCAATATGCTTACTCCGATCATGTTGAACTAGATTATGAGCTATACAAATGACAGACTTATTATCACAAAGCAACTTCATAGGTCCTTCACATCTTATTTTGAGATCATCAAGTATAATTCTCAACCATAATAATTCACAAATGCCTTGTGCCATAGCTCGAAATACAGCCTCTGCACTTGGTCTGACAATCACATCCTGATTCTTACTCCTTAGCCATAGGTCTGAGTGTAACCCTTGGCAACTAACCGAGCATTATATCTCTCAAGAGTGTCATTAGAATTATATTCTAGGGCATAAACCTATCTGCACCCTACTGCTTTCTTTCCATCAGGTCTACCAATAACCTCCCATGTTTTATTTTTCTCCAAGGCATTCCTCTCTTCTTGCATGGCTTGAGCCTAATTCTCATCTTCTAATGCTTCATGTACTGATTTTGGGATTGAGATAGAATCTGGTGCTGAAACAAAGCTTTTGTGCTGCACAGAAAGATTAATAGAAGAAACAAAATGGGAGATAGGGTGTTGGGTACAAGAGGGACAAAATTTATGGGTACAAGATCTTTTTTCTTTTCTTAGGGCAATGGGTATCAACATTAGATTCAGAAACAAGAGGTTCATCAATATTAGATTCAGAAACAAAAGGTTTGGGACTTACCAGTGGTTCAAATGATTGAGGTTGCCGGTGAAGCAATGTGAGATTGTTCCTCCTGTGATATACCAAATCAGGTGTCACAATCTTCCGTATCTCCGGTGTATTTGATGGATCAGACATAGGTGTATTTGATGGATCAGACATAGGTGTATTTGATGGATCAGACACATGAGGAAGAGGTGTACGAGTAGACACGGAAGACCCAAACTCAAAGAAGGAAGGTGACGAGTCTGCTGAAGAACTGCTTCCCCCCTGAAGATGAGGACAATGGAAAAAAGACTCGGATTCATGAAATGTAACATCCATAGAAACAAAAAAAATTCGACTGGCAGGATGATAACACTTGTAGCTTTTCTTATCAGGGGCATAACCAAAGAAGACACACTTAAGAACCCTAGGATCCAACTTACTGCGATGTTGTTTATGAACATGTACAAAGGCAACACACCCAAACACTCGCGGCTGAAAATTCTGCATGATGGGAACAAAAGGAAAGAAGGAAGTCATGGAATGAATATGATAGGTATTGTTAAAGACCTGTGAAGATAAGCGGTTGATCAAAAAAGTTACAATTAACACGGCTTATAAGAACCAGGAACAAATGTCTGAAAAAGTAATGCTCTAGCCACTTCAAGGAGGTGACGATTTTTTCTTTCAGCAAACCCATTTTGTTGAGGGGTATCAACACATGTGAACTCATGAATCATACCTCTGTCTGAAATGAATTGCGCCAGACGTTGGTTGACATACTCAATACCATTATCATATCTTAATCTTTGAATATTTTTACCAAACTGAGTCTCGACCATGTGATAAAATCAGATAAATATCTCTGGTACTTCAAACTTGTCTTTCATCAAGAATATCCATGTCACCCGAGTACAATCATAAATAAAAGAAACAAACCACTTTGCACTTGAAATTTAGAAGGGCCCCAAACATCAAAATGAATAAGAGAAAAAGGTTCAATGCTTTTGATAGCACTAGAAGGAAAGGACACTCGATGGTGTTTTGCAAATTCACAAACATCGCAATGAAAGGTCTTAACTGAATAATTTAGAAAGAGAAGGAAACATTAACTTCAATAGACTAAATGGTGGGTGCCCTAGACGCTTGTGATGGAGCCAAATCATAGATTCCACAATAGAAGGATGACGTGTCATGTCATCAATAACTGATTTTTGGTATCTTTTGTAGCATGTTTTAGAAGGAGATAATATAACTCACCCTTCTCCTCAGCAACTCCAATTTTCTTCCTCGTGGTGAGATCCTGAATAACACAATGAGAAGGGAAAAAGGTGATAGAACAATTCAAATCAATTGTAAGCTTATGAGTGTAGATAAGATTAGTGGAAAACTGAGGAACATAAAGAACATTTTTAAGAAAAATAGAAGGTTGAATGTGAATGTTACCAGAACCAATAACTGATTTATGGGTCCATCGGCTACGGTATAGTACGACTACCAACAGTAGGATGATAAGAAATAAAAGACTCAGCAAGACAAATCATATGATCAGTTACACCAGAATCCAAAATCCACGAGGTTTTAAAATCAATGCAAGAAGCAAGAAGAGATGTAGAACGTATGTTCTTACCAGACAAGATCAAAGAACTGTCAGATTGCTTACACAAATTATCAATAGCGGTCTTAAGCTGCTCTAACTCTCCTTGCCGAATATTCACATATGGAGAGACATGTGGAGGCTGTGTAACAGTCGAATGGCCATCGGAATCGGCCATAACGCAAAGAAAAAGTCAAAAAACAGTGTTTCCGGCGATGAAGAGTACGTGACAAACAGTAACGCGATGAACAATAAGATGAACAATAATGTCCGTAAACTCATAGATCTGGGGGGAAAAAGTCAAACAAAAGTCCTATCGGTCCAAAAGGTTCCCGAAAATTTTTCGGTGGCGGCAAGAGGCAAACAAATAGGATTCCGCTTTAAAGGCGGTAGTCGCGAAAGCAGAGCCTTCAGAATCGAGAGCTCTGATACCAACTTAAAAAATTGAAGAAAAATATATTATTGAATTGTGTATTACAACTGTACAAGAGCTCTCCATTTAAAGAGACTAAATAACCTAATGTGCTAAGCCCAAAGAAGATTCTAGAATGTAAAAATAAATAAATAACTAACTATAATTATTTACAACAAAAAACAACAAATAATAGGTGTATCAAGCATGTTAGTAAGTGCATGTCTTCAAAGTTCCAAGCTAAAAACATCAGTAATGGGTAGAAGTATGAAACTATTGTTCATACCTCACCGCCAAAAGGTAAAGTCTTTCCGGTTGATGGTAAAGCACCTCCGTCCTGAACAACAAAAGTAGTTAACTAACAAAATTAGGCACCTTTTGTTTATTCAATCTATCCGAACTACCATCAAGTATGGAGAATTCAATTTTATAGCTAAAAGCAGGCACATGCGAAAACTTAAAGATAGTGTATGTGGCCAGTAAATGTAAATATCCTTAAAATTAAGCTGGCAATACTATATGCAGAAAAATAATACAAGTGTCAAAGCCACAGTAGAAGCTGTTTTACCATAAAAGTTGTTTTACCGAAGTGGCAAAGTAAACCCAATGACTATCTGAGTTTAAATTATTAATATAAACATCATAATGAACAATGTTTAGTTGTTGTCAACGATTACTATGGCCAACATATGATTTACAGTTGCCCGCACATGTGCAAAAAGGTTTTTGTTGTTGTTATTGTATCTCTAATAACTAATTGGATATTTATAGTATATAAAATTGTTACCTAAACATGTCAAAGACCAACTCTCCTAAAAACTAAAGATTTTATGTGAAAACTCATGAACGGTTTTACATCTCTAATGTAAGAACTATTTAAACTTGAAGCATAGACAATGCTAATTTTTATCACGCGCTAAAATTCTACTTTATTAGAAGAATAAGGGTAGCAAGAATTGAGCTTCTAACCATTTGGTTACCAACTCTCCTAGAGATTTAAGCTATTACGTGAAAATCCAAGAATGCTGGGTCTCCTTAGCTTGAATTAAAATTGATTTACTAATGGTTCCTTCACGATCTGTAATAATAGTGGTAGATAGTGAGATCAAGGGTTCTAAACCATCAGGTAAGTATATGGCATACAAATTGTCAGAGAAGCTTTAGGGAGTGTATATACATTTTCCCTTGTTATTAATCTAATACCTAGTGGTGCTTGATAGACATACAGTGACATGTTGGTTGTGAGAGTAGCGGATCATAGAACAACTAATCCACAAATACAAATTCTAGATTCACACTCACGCAAACTGTTACATCGGAGAGTTATTCCAACTTCCAAGATGTCATTATAGAAAAATCCAATTACAAATTAAAGTATTATGCCAAATTAAGTGCCAAACAAGATGTGTTACAGCAAAATAATAATAATTAAATAAAAGGTAAAAGACACAGAAATTGCACTTACCTCTATGCATATAAGTGATGTCACCTGAGCACCAATATTCACAACACATGCTGTTGATAATCCATTCCCGAAAACTGCAGCAAGACCTTCCTGGTCAAACAATTTCATATAAAATCATTAGAAACTAATGGAGAAATCCTTACAAAGAGTTCCCTTACATGTACAAAAAGCCTATTTGATCAAATGATTTAGTGTTTGATCTCCACCAATCCCATTCTATAATTAATTTGCATCACCATCAGGATCATGATCAAAAAGTTTGAGACTTGGGAAATTCAAATAAAGTCTGGCCCAACACCTTCCAACAGTAAGACTCAGTTTCATTTGGAAACTGTTAAGCAAAACAATGACTGAAATTACCCAGAGAAAGTATCCCATTAAAGTCAAACAAATTGAGGACTTAACACATATTTAGTTCAGTTCCCTCAATTCATCACCAAAGTTCTCGATTCCAATTTTGAGGGACTGAACCCACAACTAGAGAATGAAGATTGCTGGCAATACCAGTATTTATCAATAGTCATTAGTTCACTGGTGCCAAGGGAGTTTGATATACCCCCAGAAGTAATTTGAAAATATTAACAACAGCAGCAAAACTACAATATTCACAATGATGATGTTAATCATCTCATAATTAATTGCTGTTTAATCCTGCATTCATCATATAAACTTATAACAGCAAGATAAAAAGGTCATACCTGGTGTACCACTGCTGAGCCAAAGCAAAGTTCTTGCAGTACTAAAGATAGCACTTCTTTTATTTCTGCTTGTGGCAAATGCAAAAATGTAAAACGACTATATCAGGGGCGTGAAAATATGAATTCTAATTTCTAAGGGAAGTACAACATGCAAAATAAATGGGTGACATTGTCTTTGAAGTATTTATCACAGACGTGTCTAAAAAGAAGAGGTGAAACATTCTACAGTCTGAACGAATTAAGTTCTAAATACCACGATTGTCAAATGTTTCTGGCATCACAAGAACAGCAGAGTACATATTTCTTTCATTGCGAGGAATGTGCAGTTTCTCAATTAAAATCCAGTCCCAAATAGCTTGTAGATCCTCAAGTACCTACAACATAGGCAAGCAGAAGTGATGTATGTTAGAATATCTAGAGGATATCTCATAATATCATGATTATATCCAACAATAGTTTTGAGTATCTTAGATGATCTCTTAGGATTGGTAGTCAAGAGGCTTTGCAAGTACTTTTCTTCTTTTTTGTTGTCTTCTATGATTAATCTTTTTATATAATACAAAACAAGTCTTTATATAATACAAAACAAATTGTTTTAATGAAGTTTGTATATATCATGTTTCATGAAAAGTCAAAGCATATAATTTCAATATTTTATAGGAAATCAGAAACTTAAAAGTAAAATGTCTGTTACATATTTGCAGGAATAGCAGACAGGCAGTATGTAAATTTCAAAAATGAAATTATTGTTATGCTGCATCCAAAAATATTAATAAATTATTAAGGTCACCTATATGTTTGGACATTACAATATGATGCAACAGTTAACTTACAAAGTACAATACAAAATTCCCAAGATACATACTATTGATATTTTTCTGCGATCAATTAATAGTATGACATCTAATTAACATTACGAATTTACATTGATTGTATTCTGGTTTGAAGGTGACAGGTACCTGCTGCATGGGATAATGTTGTGAAATATTCAAGTGCCCTCTGCGGATTGGACGACATAAACAATATGGTTCAGTCGGGGATATTCTTAATGCTTCCTCACCACAAATGAACTCTTTGAATTTTCGTTCACTCACATCTAGTTGCTTTGAATCTGTACCTTCTTTTGGATCCAAAAACTCAGTAGTCTCATCTTTACTAGAAGTCTCTACAAGTGCCAATTTGTATACATAACATAGTGCCGATTAATATAATAGTAACACAGCATTGAAAATCAAAGCAACAAGTAAATGCCATATACTTTTATGTGAGTCAATGATGCTAATAATGGATCACAATGAGCCAGAAAGCTAAACTCGTTCAGTTTAACACAACAAATAGATCGAACTCGGATTAATCTTTAAATAGAGTCAGCACAATCTCATTCAGGATGATGCAGATAATATTGTTTTCACAATCTGCAACAGCCAGCTGATCTATAGAACTTGTTGCAATACAACTATTTCTTTAGTTTCTTTCTTTAGGGGCAACAATAGACTAAAGAAAGACACAAGGGGAAAAAAAGAGATTTAATTATTTGTTAACCATAGTGGCTGCGACAACCACGATTTGTCTGCTACTTCTCAGTGATTCAGGCCGCTATCATCACTCCACAAAAACAATATGCAACGGCACTTTCGTTGCAGCCATAGCCAGGCCGCACGATGCAATGCCGCTATGGCATGCTATTGACAACTCTGTATAAAAATGTACAAGAGGATGCCAACCTCTTAATAACCACTAACACAAGAAACATACAGGAAAAATTTTAGAGTCATGTAACATGACATACATGATAAAAAAGAATAAATCCTTGGCTTAATGAACCAGCAGGAACCACATACATATCAAACAATTAGCGCACCAAAAGGCACAAGTTCATGGACTTCTTTTAGTATGATTAGCACCAAAAAAACCACTATAACATACCCAAAATTCGTTTGAGTAGTACAAATTTAAGCATAAAATTGAATTCGTTATTAGGCTCTGACTACTTAAATGGCCTTAACATAGTTTCCATGAACTTTATTTTTGTGTAAAAACACCTTATTTACATGACTTAGATGGCCTTTCCTTTATTTAGTGAAACCTTTGTAACATGCAGTAGCCAATTTTAGTAATTCCTAGAAATTTGATAAAGTTTGCAGTAAATAAAGGAAAACCATGTAACAAGAGCCCATGGAGTTCAAATTTCATTTTAAGACTGGTAAGGCGTGCATTAAAACAAGGGCAATGCATTCACCTCATACACCTATAGTCAAGTACCAAAACTGAAAACATTTAATCAAAATCACATTGTTTATCACCATCCTACACCCATTGCGTACTTGTTCCAGGGTTTCTGCTATCCAAAATGAAATGAATTAAACCACTATTGATCTTGTCAGAAGAAAGGCAAAGATGAAAGAATTCATAACATTGTGTTTATTAGTGTTGTACCAATTCACTTTTTAAATAATGCATGCTACCATCAAGACTTCATTGCTCATACAAGACATAATCATCTTTATTTGCACATTGCAACTTCTTCTGAATGAAGATGTCAGTTCCAACAAAACCAACAAAAAAGACCAAACTGCGATAGAAACAAGAGAAAATAAAAAAGACAACTTGTTTTAACATATCAATCAAATGAAACTAAAACTGGAAGAACAACAATTTTTTTCCTTAAAGTAACTCTTCAGGCTTTTCACATAATAATTGCAATGCTTCATAATAAAATAGGTAATGCATCAGCTCTATCATTACTTTGTTCAACATAATACTCACAAAAGGTACATTCCGGCTTATATTAGGAACTTAGTAAAACAGACTTGAAATGAATCAAATATTAAGCTAATTGACATAAACACACCAAAAGACACAGATACAACTAAGGAACACAGAAAAGTAATAGGTAAAATGCAAAGAGACTAAATTCCTCTTACCTAATGCTGAAGATGAACTAGTGGCCTCCTCATAGACATTAGTCCAAGTGAAGGGCAAATCTTTCCGGATAATGTGTGGATTATGTCCATCAACACGTCCCATCTGTACATTCAGCACATTGAAATTCATAGTACTAACACCGATTAAAAAAAAGTGACCAAGAGAAAACCAATAACAATTTCCTAAAACCATTAAAAGCATAACTGTTATGCACCAAGGACTTCTCATGGTATCAATCAGCATTTACTAGCTTCCATTCATAAAAGGTTGGAATGATATCAATTAGTCCCAATTAGCATTTGTAAGCTTCTATTAATAAAATATTGGTATCAATTACTCCTGATTAGTGTCAATTATCATTAGCATTTGATGACTTTACCTTTTTAGTATTTCAAATCCTTGTTATAAAGGCCGCAGTGACTATATGGAAAAAAACAAGACAAAATTACCTCCTTCCCATTATTCTCTACTCCCTCTCCCCTACTCCTCTGTCATTTCTCTGCTATTCTGCCCACTCCAGAACTACTTCAACAACAACTTCCTGGGTGATACTTATTTTTTATTGCATAGTTGCACAGAACCCTCAACTGGAATGTGTGAAGGGAGAAACATGCATGAGATCCTAAGGACTTGCATTGAATATATCTTAGAACCACACATGTATAAATATAAGTAAAATTTCTCTCTCTCTCTCTCTCTCTCTCTCTCTCTCTCTCTCACACACACACACACACACACACACACACACATAAAAGATCAGTTAAAGCATATAAATCACATGCTTTAATTATATTAAGGATTAATTAGAAGTATTAACCTTATGTAAGAATGCCCAAAAGGGTCAATCAAATTACAATGTTCTTTCCTTGATGAATAATAAATTTGTCTGTCAGCATGTTTGTGCTCTGCAGTTCACTTATCTTCAGCTCAAAATCTTTAACATTGCAAGTACAACAAAATTGCCACAGAAATGCAATGTTTTGAAGGGGACAATAATAGTCCCATGCTAAAACACTTCCAGAAAAAGGCTGGCTATGTCCAAGCATTATTACATTACAAAGACTACAGTAACAGAACAAACAAGAAATGCATATGAAATCAAACAAAAGTGATGAGTCCATTTAAATTGTAACTGAATAATACATTGCATATACCTTACGAGGGAAAGAGTTACTGGGAGCTTCTTCATCCAGAAATGGTATCTTCAACAGTGATGCAATCTTTTTTTTTTTTTTTTTGACAAAAGGGTGGAAAAATCAATATAAGCAAACTATATAATAAAAATTAAAGCTTCACAATGTGCCATAACTTACAACATCATAAGCCTTCTCCCTTTCCATATGCTGTGCAGTTGTAACCTGACTATTAAGCATCTAAATGCAGAAAACAAAAACCAACAACAATTGAAGTAAAACACAAATGCCTGCAGAAAGAGGGGGGACAATAGAATAAAATGGAGTATGAAATAAAATTATCGAATTATGACAAAAACCTGATCTTGAACATTCCTCTTAGGAACTTGTTTGGTATGGCGAGCAATGCAATGAGGAATATTAAAAGGGGTGTCCTGTGAAGCCAAGCCAATTCTAATATTTGCAGAACCTGAGTAATAATGGGTATGGTATGAACGAAGTTCCAATATTTCAGAGCTTGGTGTTGATTTTACACCGAGTTAAAATGATTATGGGAAGAAGATGACAAATGGGTAGCGTGCAAAATCGGATTTTTAGCATACCTGGGTTGATAACAACCAGATTGGAGCCTCGTTCTGACATTATTTGAGAAGGAAGTGCCGATTTAAGGTAATCCTGTGACATGAGCACATAACCGAATGAGAACAAAACTGCGGAAGAGGTAACAGTAACAGAGAGAGTGAGAGAGATTTGTACCATTGGAAAAGAGAGGATGTTGCAATAGTTACAGTGAGGACTTTAAGATTTTGCAAATTTGAGCGTTGGTGGTGCTTTTTCCTTTCGTCTTTGTTTTCTCTTTCTCGTTTTCGTTGCTTCGTTTCTTTCAGTTTCACTGAGAAAACACACCTTGCTTAACATATTTTTTTAGTAAAGGTTGAGAATAAATAATTATAATATTAATTAAAAAAAATTATTCCATAACCCTAAAGCGACGTAATAGTTATCCTGAAATGAAATCATTAATAACATTCTTTGTTTACCAACAAATACAATGATTCGAAGCCATTATTAATTAATAGAATTATAAAATATAAAAGATAATAGTAAAACTAAATCGGTATTTGATACTACTTTATACTTTAAAAAATAAATTGTAATGATTTTTTTTAAATCTGATTGTACAATTATATATTAAATAAAATGATTTCATATAATTTTTCAATTTTAAATGTTAACCTTTCTATTATATTTGATAAGTATAGAAATATGGTTATTTCATAATATTTCAAATAGTTTGTATTAAAAAATCATTTCAATCTAATTTTGTGTTTCAGTTATTTTAATTTTAAGAGTGAAATAAATTAACTAAAAAATTAAAAAAATTAATTAATTTCTTTAAGTACATCGTGCCAATGAGAAAAATATAAAAGTTTAAAATCACATGAGGTTAAATAAGAAATCATAAAATCTCTGTAGTTGAAATGAAGTTTTTCCAAAAGTTAATTATAAAAAAAATAACATGCAATAAACGAGTAGGAAAAATGATTTTCAATTAATGATACAATTTTCAATCAATATGTATATTATAACCTTTTGCTAAAAGTCCTGTAACTTCTAATTAGGAATGTAAATGAGTCAGACTAAGTTAAATTTTAGTCTAAATAGACTAGGCCTATATAAATTACTTTAAGCTTAGTTTGACTTGTTAGCCTGACACAAGTCAAATTATGAGTTTAACCTGACTTGTTTTTTAAAAATACAAGGCTAAACCTAGCCTATGTTAAACTAACATGATACGGCGACACGTTAATTTTAAAAAATATTAGATTTTGCCATATCAGAACATGTATATTTTGATATTAAATAATATTTTTAATAAATATAATATAGTTTACATTTAATACATATAGCACTTCATAATAAGTGAATTACATTATACTTTAAATTGTTTTGCACATAAATTAAGCTAAGTTAATTATATATTAAAAAAATTCTAAATTATAAAAAAAAAACCATTTTCATCGTTTGAAAATACAATACATCATCTATTTTTAATTATTATTTATTTTATTTAATTCAAATAAAATAATACAATACCTATTTAATATATATTTTACTATACAAAATTTCTATATTTTACAATTATTATATTTTAAAATTATTAATATAAAATGATTTTATTATATTAGGTCGCGAACTTCAGTCACCAAGCCCTTAGGCTGTTTCTTGTCTGTAATGGGCCAGGCTAACTTGGAGCTTGAGGTAATTGGGCTTAAATTGGGTCGGGTCTATACACCCACTCGTTCTGAAGGTTAAAATTAAGGTTGCCGCTCCTTGTGAATTGGGTAGTGAAAAGTGGAAGATTAGAAAGAGTGATAAAAGTTTGGTTTCCTGTGAGATCCAATTGCAGCTTGTTGTCCATAGATTTATGGTTTCTTTACCAGAGACGCTGTGGCGTTTGTTTGACACCGCTTTGTCCTTCGTTTGAGCCATCGCTGAGCTACTGGCAAGACCATCAAGTTCGTTCCCAAATTTTTTTTTTTTATTTTAGAATTATTTTAATTTTATAAAAAAATAAAAAAAATCCATTTCTGCCCCTTGACGGTGTTGAACACGGTCAAAATCACGTGTCAGAATAGAAGGTACATTTATTGCGTCAGAACGTGTCGGTGTGTGACATCCATTTTTTCTTAAAAAATATCATGTCTGTACTTCTTAAGGCCTAGCCTAACAAGCTTTCAAAAATAATATATTATAATAATTTTGTACAATTACTAAACATAACACAAAATATTGACAATTTAAGTAAATTGTTGAAAATAAATAAAAAAATCAATTGAATAAAATTGTTTTATTCTTAATTGTAAAATTAAATTTTATTTTAATTTAAAATAAATTAAAGTTTATACATGCATGCACACACGCGTACATACACACACACTCTCACACACACACACACACACATATATATATATATAGGTTATGATTATTTTACACCAGTGTAAGTTACACTCTTAATCTTATCTGTTAATCCCACTTATATCTAAGGGCTCAAATTTTTTAGTAACGTGAGCCATCGGATACAAGTGGATCAATGATCAAGATTGAATGTAAGAAATGACAAGTACGAAATCATGCAAAGAGAACAACGCTAATGCATTCAGCTTGAAAATGTCCATCAACCGACCAACTTATATTAGAATTTCCCAATAAAAAATAATTAAACAAATAAAGAGAAGCAAACAAAATAATAAAAGACAAAGATAAACACATGCCCAACAAGATAAATAATACTATATTATTTTATTGTCTTAATTCTGAACTCGCATAGTACCACCTTTGGGAGGAATTTAAAATTTTAGTCCTAAACCAGTCCCAAATCAGACTGATCGCAAAGCGATGAATTGATGAAATATTTAAAAAAAGAAAGATAAATAACAATATATTATTTTATTAAAAAATAATATCTTTTATTTTATCAAAAATAATAATATCAGTTTATTAAGAATAATAGATATTAATTTATTAAAAAATAATATATATTATTTTAGTAAAAAATAATAAATATTATTTATTAAAAAATACGAGTTGAGCCTGAAGATTTAGAAGCCAAGCCTATACCCAATGGGTGCAGCTCAGTTGGTAACTTGGCGCTGAGTTAGTGGGGTTGGGTATGTGTTCGATTCCCGCTGAATGCATTCTTGGGGAGGGGGCTGAACCTTTAGCCATCACTATTCCCCCGCACTCTGGATTAGTCCCATAGCCGGCTCAAAGAGTCGAAGCTCGTGGGGATACCGGAGGGAGCCAACTCGTCTCAAAGAGATAATTAGGGTTGGGTAACTCCAAAAAAAAGAAGCCAAGTCTACTAAAATAGGCTTGTAACCCGATTTCTAAACAAACAATTTTTTTTTTTTCTAAACAAACTTTTTAATAAGCTCAAGCTTATATTATTTTAAAAATGGTCTAGTCGGCTAAGCTGTAAGCCCTGACCCCTTTACACATAACCTATATGAACCCTAAGCTAAGGGGTAGAATAGACTTTTGGCTTCCTCTTCTTTTTTTATTTGAAATGGTTGAGTTGAAAAACAAAACTGGCTTGGAGCAAATTATATAATATTATTACTTTAATTTTAAAGTTTAAACAACGTAAGGAAAGCAGCCAAATGAGGCACACAAATCAAATCTACGGTTATGTAACTTATGTTCGAGTTGAACTAGGTTGTTGTTTCAGATCCATTGTTCCTCAAACACCTGCTGCTTTTCAGACTTCAGATCTTTCACATTGAGAAGATAAGATAAAACCCATCCTTCTGATTTCACTGGTAAAGTAACAACCACTTTTCCTCTTTAAGCTTTACTCTATTCTGAGTTTGATTTGGGTTTCTGATCTCTCATAACATTTCCAAAGTTCTGTTTGCAAACTTAGACTGCAACAGAACAGATGCAGTGATACATTTAGGAAAATTCTGAAATGAACTATTGGTAGAAATTCTACACCATGAATTTTCCATACATGTTTTGCATTTCTTCGAATGAAAAATTCTTGCTTTTTGTTAGAAGGAGCACGTTTTTGTGCTAGGTTTTTATTGAAGTTCACTATACCTTTATGGGTTTCTCCTTTTGTTTTTGAATGTCATGTTCGTGCATGTATTCAGATCAATTCAATGTGCTGTGGATCCAGCAGGCCTCACTATGAGTAGAGCATTTTCATCATCAAAGAAACCTTCCACTTTGCCTCCGCCACCTACACCAACCACAGTTGCAACATCATGTGCAAAGAAGAAGCAAAGTCCTAGAAGCCCGTTACAGGATCTCAACCGCATTTCCAGCAGCAGCAACAGTAGTTATGCTTCTTCTGGTGTCTCCACTGAAGCCCCAAGGGGTTGCCTCAGGTTCTTGTCTTCCTCTTCTTTTAAAACCCCTGTACACAGACCCAAAAGTCTCTCCAAAACTCCCAACTCAGCCCCTCATGCACTTGCATTGAAACAACCTACATCTAAGTCCTCAAAGGAGAACCTTCCAAAGGGTAATGCTGGGGTGCAAACCAAAAGACTCGCATCGGATAAGCCCCGGACCCTTAGGAAGAATCCCCCATCCCTCAACCAGTGGCAGTCTGGTAAGAAATCAGGATCCAGGACTGGCCAAAAGTTTAAGCCTTGTTCTGCTTTGAAAGAACATGGCAAATGTTCATCTAGATTGCCATCAGCATCCGAGGAGTTAAAGCAAAAGGAGGGTGTTCTGGGAGGGATAAATGATAATGCTGATGAGCATGCCCATCGCAAAGGGTGTGATAATGATGCAAACTTGACTCCTTTGAGTAAAAAAGTTACTGGGTCAGATTTGGATGTTACAGTTTTAGGGGATGCGGAGGAGAACCCAAACACAAGCATTAGTAAAACACCTCCAATTAATGACTCTGTTTCTCCAGAGATACAATGTGGGTCTTCTTTGGTTTCAACAAAAACACCTGTCTGTTATGGTGCTGGTTATGTTGTTTCTGGTGTCACTGACAAGAGGAAATGTAGGCCTAGAGGGATTCTCATTGTAGAAGAGAACAATTCAAGCTTTGATAAAATGACTGCTAACAGTTTTGATGATGATGAGAAAAAAACAAGGGATATTGATGGCAATGCTAGTCCTCCCTTATTGCCTTTGCCAACTGAAGCTTTAGTGCATTGGATTTCTTCTCCACGTAACAAGGGAAAGAAAATTCTGAGTCCGAAACCTGAAAATGAACTAAATCAAAGTCAGGGACTAGCAGAATCCACAACTCTTTGTTCCAGTACTTCACCATCATCCAGTTCTAAAACTTTTTGGAATGTAAGTGAGAGCAGTGACTTGTCTGGTGCTGCTAATGGTGTCAGGAGAAAAGTGAGTTGTTCAATTTCTCCAAGTGGACTTTCTGAAATTCCAGTACCTTTTGATGCCACATTATCGCCTTTTTATACATCCATATTGTTTTCTCCCAGTTCCATGCCTTGTTGTAGGGTAGGTAGCTCAGAAAAAGGAAAAAATGATCGATACAATGTCATTGATGAGAATTCTCCCTTCTCCCTGAATTCATTTGGTAGTGGAAATGTTATTCAAACTCCACAGTCAGATTCCAGTTCAGATTTACATGTTGGATTATCATTGGTGCATGCAGACAATCGAAAGGAAGATAATTCTAATGCTGAACTTAATTCGTTCAATGAAGTTCTTCCATCAGAAAACTTGCTTCTCAATAGTTCTATGCCACTGGAGGATTCTGTTAATTCAAGTTTCCAATTCGATCTCAGCAAACTTCCAAAATTTTTGGATGATCAGGATCCTTGGTTATCTAGTCCTACAATAGAGAATGCATCACAATCCCAGATGAGGATATCATGGAGGGAAGGGTTAATGAGCCAACTTTATGAGGTGGATGAATTTGACTGTTGTAGATGCTTGTCAGATGAAGAAGACCTTGACCATGACTATGGTAGCAAGAGGTTATCAGGTCCTCAAGCCAATGATGAAATACATGACAGAAAATAATTGAACGGTGATGTTGGAATCACTGAAACTGAGGATAATGAACAGGAAATTGATGGACCTGGCAAACCAGCTTTGATATCATGTTCATGTGCTGAGTCCATAAGCACTGATGGAGGGAGTCTAGTTGCTTCAGACTGGACTTTATGCTACATGAACAAGTTATTTGATCCTTAACTTGCTTGCTGTCATGTATCATGTACCCCATCTCCCTCCTCCCCCCTAAAAAAAAAAAATTGCCAAAAGGTGATTATTTGAACAAGATCTTACTTCCTCTAAGGTTATGTGGAAATTCCTCCTCGCTCATAATGTATACTTGGAGATAATGGGGTGAAGGAAGAATTCCTACTTGGAGGAAGCAAATTTTTTTCTATTTTCAATTTAGGAATAATTAACTGCTCAAGTGGTTAGTCAAGTCATTACTGGTTACTCATTAACCACTCTTTCAACATTATTAACTGGTTGAGTAATTAATTGTTTCTAGTACTGACCAGTTCTTGTTTATTTGTAACTTACCCTTCTCCCCAGTTTTCCGTCCTTGTGTTAAGTGAAATTTGTGTTTCCTTCTCCTATTGGTTAACTTACATGTAAGCCACTTATAAAATTTAATGTGTCAGTTTTTATGACTTTGAACAAGGTATCTCTAATTTGTCAATTTGCTATAGGAAATTCTCAATACTAGCTTCATGTCGGTATCTTCCACATACTTTGATATTTTTTTAGAGCTATGATAAAATTGAAGTGAATTTATATGCGAAACACAACATTTGCTCAATATGATCTTATTCGAATTGCGTTTTGGTGTTAAGTTAGTCAAAGTTAAATATGTAGAGGACTGCTTTAAGATTATGTGCGATTAAGCTACTTAATGCGTTTTAATTCTAATTTTGTTGATCCCAACGTGAATGTATTGTAGGGGCAAGTGGTAGAATGTGGCAAATAAACGATAATTACATGCTTAGGGTGAAGGGGCATACATTAACCGTGATGCTCTAAAACGGGTTTAATTTCGGGATCAGAAGTAAAATAATCTGAAAGACATCAACAATAAGACGAAAATAATGTTATTTCCGACTTCAAGTATTTGATTAATCATATGCTTTATTGAATATTTTCACAAACAATGTACATTATTGTATCAACCCTTCATTCACATACTCATCATCTTTTCCTTGCTCAGAAGACACACAAGGGTTGCCACTCACTCATTGATGGACCCATCTTGACAAGTATTGGACACGTCTTCACAACACTAAAAAAAATATACTACTATAGGTTCTATTATTATTACTCTCACATGTTAAAGAATTTTGCCCTCACCAATTATGCATGGATAAAAATATTTGATTATAATATACAAAAAAATTTAGGTTCCAACACTGTTGCCATTGTATTCTCCTTGTTTCTCTTTTCCTTCCAACCCGTCTCTCTCCTGACCAACTTATTATGAAACTGTACTCAAGATTGAAGAATCATACCGACGTGGAGGAAGACCAAGAACTTGGGGATAGGGGAATTTTTATGATTTTATTTGAGACTCCAAAAGTGGTGTCTGAAGAAAGAAATTTGCTTTAGTTTAGGAGTCATTAAGACATTAGGACTCAAATCAGAGTTATATGTTTGTATAGATTATATCAGCATTATATCATATTTGAATTATACCGGATTAGACTAAAATAAAACAAATTGAACTGGATAAAACATTGTGACATAATTAGTCTCTGCAGCAATCACCCTGCCTCATGGTACCAGAATATCTCATCCATCGGACCTTGATTGACAAGCAAATCTAACCAAAGCTTTTGTTAATAGCTATGCTTAGCGCAAGTACAACAGAATTGTATAAGAAAGCTCAAGCATATCCATATTCCGATTATGTGAGAACTTACAAAAAAAATAATAACAAAAGGTTTAAGTAAAAATTCCAAAACTCAACAATTTGACAACCTGTTCATTGGAAACAGATACATAATTTATCTAATTTCTAAACTGTCTTTGTTTTTGGGGTCTTCTTCCTGGATTGTTTCCTGGGAATTGAGTTCTTCATACCCATAAAAAATAGCAATGCACCAAAAAGTGCTGTGCTCTGCCATCAAAAGTGAGCACACATGTTAAGTTCTCACACATATAAAACCATCAGCCAGAAACACAGGAAATAACAACAGTTTGCACATACCTGAATGAAATCATTCAGCAGTAAACTATATTCAGGCTTATTAGGCCTGTAGTTATAGAAATCATACAGAATTGGAGTAGTAAGCGCCAGATGCAAAAGCTACAAAAAAAAAAAGGAAGAAAAATTTCAATCTGGATTACAATGTTTTAGGACCAAAACAAAGATCAAAACTTGAAAAGTAAATTTAAGAATGACAACTTCTGTTCATTCCAAAGCTAAGAGAGAAAGCCATTACCAGAAGAAAAGATCCAAGTGTGCTGCCAAACACAAATAGAATCCCTCCAACCCCCTTTAGAAATATGATAGAGGCAATGACTTGCCGAACCTGTATTTAGCATTTCAATCAGAAAGGCAACAAGAAGTGAAAATTGAATTTCATACCAAAAATATATAATATAAGAAAAGATGGCCTTACATTAATATCTGGTATCCCTATCCCCAATTTGGAGGATAAATTCTTCCTCACAACAGTGAGCTTGGGAATCAACTCCTTTGCAATGGGTCCTCCAGTGGCATCAAATTCATTAAACCTGGCAGCACCCGTTCTATGTAAATGCAAAAGTACTAAATGTTGCCTTATAGCATTATCAGCAAACTACAGATGACTTTAGAAATCCACCCAAAAAAAAAAAAAAATTACTTTAGCAACCCAATATTTGGTTGGCTAAAATCTCATCTCTAGGCACATTCATAAACATCAAACTGCTGATCCACCACTAAGCAAGTTACAAAATAAGGTAATAAGACTTGAAACAGCAGAAAAGGCTGTGGCTGGCAACAGAAATGCATTCCTAGTAACAAGTCTCCAAGATCATATCAGAGCGATAACATTTATTAAAGTCATAATCTCTGCAAAAATTACATATAGCACTTTGGTCCTTGTATTTTTATGTAACAAGTACAATTGGAAAACCAGTCAGCTGAGTTCTTACTCTATCACTTGATTTCTCAACAGAGCTAGGCTGTTAAGCTATTATATTCAATATGTTCCCATACCCCCAATATAGACAAAATGGAGCATTAAAGGCCGCAGAATTCACCAGAAAAAGAAGAAGAAAAACCAACAAAAACTGTAAAGGAATATGATAGGTTTTGAATTTAACAGTGAAAATTAGAAGACAAAACAAGTAGGAGCAAGCTCCAAGTACAGTATTATAAACATGGAATGTAGCAACTGTATTAAAATCGGACAAAAAAATAAAGAATATCAGAGAAGCAAAATGCTATCTCTGCCCAGTGGCTACAGCAACCCAAAATCACCCAAATGATCCGAGACCCCCTCTATTCCCTTCATATTCATATTCCCTTCCATGATTGTAGCATCGTCTTCACTCTTCACCAATTCCCTGCTGCCAATCTACTCCACTACATTTCCCAACTCATTCCCATTCTACCTTTATATCCCTTCTCCCTCTACACTATACATGAATTGGAGGCTGAGGCACTCAAGATTTAAAGGACCATCAGACTAATAGTTTACTTAGCAAGAATTAAAACATTTCATCATATTATTAGTGTTTCATAGCTCCTTGTATATTGTATTGTGCACAAACTTGTGTAAAACCCATGTTAACTGAGCCATTTAAACTATTATCGCTTTACAAAACTAATTACCCAGAGCCTCAAGTTATTTGTGTGAATTAACTTGTTGAGTATAATCTTAGATTGAGATAAATCGAAAAAAGTTAGATACGTACATGCATAGAAATATAAATAAGATAGCAAGCACTATTCACCATCCATATTTCCAAGGAATTCTCTTAAACTGATAATCAGATGTTTCAGGACATATAAATCATCTTGACAATTAAATCTATCAGTTTTTGGTCTGAGCCTAACTTGCTACCAAACTGTTAAAACTAAACGCAAACTTGAAAATCTTCAACGATTTGAAGGGAGTAACTTAAAAGGAAAAGCAACACTAAACCCATATTGGTGTGCAACTTAAGATTTCAGCAGTGCATTGGTTGTTGTTTTTGTTACTAATATGTAACAATATTTATATTCAAGATCACATAACAATCTCAACGTGCTAGTATACCTAAGACAAATAATTAATTAATTAATAACTTACATAAAAACCATGAAGCGCCGTAGACAACTCTCTTTACTAGAAGATGCATCATTAAACTCTAACAGCTCATCATAGTTTCGAAGAGAATAATTGAATAACAGGAAGAAACCCAATTATGAAAACAGATTCAAACTATATCTATTAAAGAATATTATGGGTTTGTATTCTATCAACGAGTCTCTAAATTGAAAACACAAACTAAATGAAGACCCAGATGCCCTAAAACGAAAATACAGTGAAAAAAGTAGGAGTTAAGATGGATGGATCTGAAGAGAGAGAGAGAGAGAGAAAGAGAAAGAGGACTTACATCTGCCATGCGGAGAGGATGAAGAGGGAAGCAAAGAGGACACGACCCATAAAGGAGAAGAAACCCATATTCTCTTTTCTCTTTCGCAGTTGCAGCAGGAGAAGGAAGTAACGAGAGAAAGAGAAGAAGAGGGACAGAGTCGCAGTGTTGAACGGTACTGTGATTGATGTCTGTGGTCAATTTGCTTATGATGTTTTTTTTTTTTTTTTTTTTTGATTCGTCAATGTACCAAATATAACGTTGGACACTTCTATATTTAAAAGTCACGAGCAAAAATGTCTTCCAAGAAAAAAAACATATGCTTCATTTTTTATTTTTTTCATAAATACATGTATGCTTAACTTACCCCTTTATTTTGTTTATCGTTAAATATATAAAGAGTTGGATGGCAAAAAATAAATAAATAAAAGGATAAGTAAGGAAAATATTAAACCATGAACATGATTGAAGTTAACTATTTTAACTTAAACTAAGTAAATGGTTATAATTTATTGGAAATTATTAATTAATTAATAGAAAAATATCTATCATTTTAAATGACATAAAATTATGTCCTTTTTAATGAAATTACGTCATTTTCGTAAGTTTTTACATTCTCTCTCCTCTATTTTCTTTTTATTTCTAATTTTATAAAGGGAAAACGTTCGTGCTTTTAAAGGATATAACTTTGTGTCATTTTTAATTTTAACCGTTGATTTATGTCAATCAACGGTTAAGATTTATTGAATTTTATTGCGAATTAATAATTAATTAATAAGTTTGACACAATAAATCCTAACCGTTGATTGACGAAAATCAACGGTTAGGATTTAAAATGACAAAGAATTATATCCTTTAAAAGGACAAACATTTTTTTTCCTATAAAACACATCAAAACGATGTGGTTTCATTAAAAATGACAAACACTAAACACTTAATCAATTATAACCATTAGATTGACGGTGATTAGATTGGTCGTAATTTGTGGTGGTAAGTATATTTTTTCCCTAAATAATGTTTAAAAAAAACAAAAAACAAAAAATGAAGGGGGGTTAAGTAATGTAAAATAAAATAAAATTAAGGTTAGTTAGTTAAAAAAACTTGTTAAAACATGAGAAATAATGTATAACTTATCCTAATTTTAAATGAAAAGTGTAATATAAACAAGTTTATGATAAAGGTTTGAACCTCAAAAACACCATTTATGAAATTTAATTAAATTTATCGTTCCATAACAAAAAAAAATTAGTGTCATACCTAAAATGTATAAAGATGCCAAAATATATTATTATATTTTAGGGATATATTTTTCTTATGTTGTAGGAAAAAAATTACTTCATGTTGTAGAAATAAAAGTATAAGTGGGACCCACATGTAAGAGGAGAGAGAAAAAAGAATGGTGGGACCTAATTCCTTTTTGTGTGTGTAGAAGAGTTGTTTATCTCATGTAAAATGAGATAAACATAACCCTATATTTTAACACAAAACAAGCTATTTTGATCTAAAACTGTCAGTTTTGAAGATTCAAAACAACTTTTTTCTATAATTTAACTTATTGTAATTGGTTTTTAAATAAAGTCAATTGTACATATAATTAAGTGTAAAAATTTTCCACATCTAACACAAACACACCCTTAATTTAATTGTCATTTACCATTAATTTTAACTAATTTAATTCACAATTTTTTTTCTTTTAAATTTTATGAACAATGCTTTTTTTTGGGCTATTTAATTTTTAAATGTACTCATATAGTGAAATTGGATTTATTTTTTTCAGCTAGGAAAAATCAGATTCTAAGAAATCTTTCTTCCCTTTATCGGTTTATCCCACACGATGCTACAAGTTTTTCCCTTTTTATTTTCAGAGTTTGATCAAGAACTCATTTTGCATATTGAGTAGTTTTTCAATTATATCAAGGAGGAGAGGTATACTTTTGGAATCTGGGTATTTATATGAACACCACCCCCAACATATAATTCTTATGGGGATGTTTAGTACGAGAGATATATTTTTTTATCTTGAAAAAAATATGGTTGAGGATTTAGTAGGAATTTTTTTATTCCGGGTAAGTTACGAAAAAGTGTTTAGTTGGCCAAAATTTGGCGGAAAAGTTGGATTCATTTTACTGATACTATGTTTGGTTGATGATAAAATATTGATGGGATAATTATTTGACTCAACATATTATATTCAGAATCTAAGACCCTAGGCAAAAAAAAAAAATACCAAAGGATGAGTGGGATAATTATTTGCCTTTGTGTAGTTGAAAATGGAAATACCTGGGGAAATTATTTGCTGAGATTTTTTTCACAATATCCACCAAACATGGTAATTAAATATTCCCCATCTCACTTCTCCATCATTCCATTCCAAATACCCATACCAAACACTCCCTAAGAGTTCGTCAATATTTCGCACAATACTGCTTGAATGTATATTTATGCATGCTCTTGTTCTAGTATCTAAAAATAGGGTTTAATGTCACTCATTGTAAAGAAACAATTCAATCCAAAAGTTTAAGCTCTTGAGACATATAAAATTATTAATGTAGTATCACCCATCAACTTATGATGTATACTATTCTTTAACATGCCCCCTCATACTAGAGCCCATTAGACTTAAAGGGTAGATAATACACAAACATACTTACATGTGCTAAGAAACTCCAAAAGACTTAATTAATTATGAATTAATTGTTGGGGGGGGGAGATGAGGGTCTTTTTAATGATTTATACTATTCTTTAACGCTCATGTTGTAGAAGATAATTTTATCTCCTATACACATAAAAGTGTGAGGGGTCCATGTTTGTTTTTCCCTCTGTAAAGAACCAATTTAACCCATAAACTATTTATCTAACACGCCCCCTCCTCACAAGAGAGCCCATTGGGCTTGGAGTGTGGACAATGTACAGGCACAACTACATGTGCTAAGAAAGAAATTTCACTGGAAAGAAAGTGGAGGATAAGCTTTTAGGCGAGGGTCTCTTTAATGATTTTTATCTCCTATACCATATAAAGAACCAATTCACCTAAAAGTTTAAGCTAGTGAGTGAGGACTTTTTAATGATTTATATTATTCTCTAATACTCTCTTCTCTTGTACATGATCCCATTTAGACCTCACACACTTCTATATATGTATAGAATATAACATGAGAGACATTCCTTAAAAATATAGGTGGAACAAGGCGCATTTACATTTAGTCTTTGTCTCTTTTTGTGCTTTGGAGTATAGTTTGTCATTACTTTTTTTTTTTTTTGTCATTACTTTTGTATCACAATTTCATACTTCAAGATCATATTGATCATTCTTCTCTCACTATATTTTTCGTTCAATCTACCATAGGTATTGATAAAATTTAGGGTTTAATATTTTTATTTTTGTTGCAGAAATTTTTTTTCTGTCACATTCACATAAAAAGTGTATGAATCCCATTATAAAAAGAAGAAATAAAAAAGTTTGAGACTTGTTAACTTTTATGTGAGTGTGACAGATTTTTATTTTACAGCAGTAGTAGAGATAATTTTTCCCAAATTTTATGTTGTAATTTTTATTGTTGATGAGCACATGGAGGATTTGCAGAAAATAATTGATATAGCGCGGTTCAGTAGTTCTGGTTCTTGCTTTTAGGAATTTTTTTTGGTCTTCCTGTTGGGCTTCCTCCTTCAATGCTAAGCCCAAGCCCATTTGAGGGTTTCCTAAAATCCCTAACCCTAATTTCCACCTCCTCTATATATACTCATTAGTTGTGGGTGGAGACTAGGTCAGATTTGAGAGAACAAATTTGAGAGAATTATTTGATTGTTTGAGCAAAGCTTTATGCTTTGCATTTGAGAGATCTCTAGAGAGAGTTTGAGTGAAACACCTATAGGGTAGTTTGATTATCACCATTGTTGGAGAGGTTGAGTTAACCACCACATTGGTGTATTTGATTATTTGTAACCATTATTTTCATAGTGAATTTCTGATATGGACTAGGTCACTTGGGTTTTTACTTTTTCATTCAAGAAGGTTTTCCCACGTTAAATCTGGTTGTGTTCTTTGCTCTCTCCTGTTTTTTGTTTTGATTTTTCCGCTGCGCTGCCTGACCTGGTGAAGTTCAGGCCGAGGTATTGCCGAGATCCGGGATCAGGATCAGGATCTTATTGATTGACTTTCGCACAAAGGCTGCTTAGCCGAGCTTGAGGGAATCGAGTTTTTTCCCAACAGCGGTATCAAAGCCCGAGTTCGACGGGTTCTGAGGGAGACGAGATGGAGACCAGTGGCATAACTCATGATGGAGATATGTTCAAGTTGACCGCAGATAACTTCACTTATTGGAGTCCGATGATGGAAGATCATCTCTACTGCAAAGATTTACATGAGCCCATTATCCTTGATGAGAGACCGGCAGGCAAGACCGATAAGGAGTGGGAGATCCTGAGTCGGAAGGCGGTAGCCACGATCAAGAAATATATTGATAAAAGCCTCTTTGAGCACGTGTCCGAATTCACGAACGCGTATGAGTTGTGGACGAAGCTAGAGTCCATGATTCAGAAGAAGACTCCCAGGAATAAAGCACACCTGGTTCACCGACTTGTTAAGCTTGAATACAAGGACGGCATGAGCATGATTGAACACCTGAACACCTACAAAGGTATTGTGAATCAGCTGTCAAAGGCTGATATGAAAATTGATGAAGAATTGCAGGCATTGCTGTTGTTGAGCTCGCTGCCAGAAAGCTGGGATACTCTGGTGGTGACCCTGAATAACTCGACTCCAGATGGAAAATTGAAGATGGATGTCGTGACAGACAGCCTCTTGGGCGAAGAATCCAGGAGAAGAGAACGAGGTACTTCGAGTACGTCTGAGGCCAACGTTGCTGAGAACAAAGGGAAATCCGACTCCCGCGGTAGAAGCAAAAGCCGAGGTAGAGGTCGTGACAGACGAGACAAGTCCAGAGGTCGGTCAAAGCCGAAATATGAGTTGAAGTGCTTTTACTGTTGAAAGACAGGCCATAAGAAGCCAGACTGCTGAACCCTGCAAAATGATGAGAAGAACGGCTCTGTGAAGCTGGATCAGATTATTCCCAAGAAGAGGGAAGACAAGAGCACCACTGCGGTGGCTGCCAACCCGGATACCGAGATATTCCTCCTTGGTGAGGATAATTATTTGAATGTTGCATATGATGACTGCACTTGGATTGTT